TTACCCCAAGTATGGAAAAGATGAAAATCCGTTTGTCCCATTTTTCAGAGGGCACGTGCACCCCTTAGTTCCCAAGAGCTGCGGGTTCCCCAGGCTCCCTAAAGGCTCTTGGAAGTTTTACTACATACTTCCATTCCAGATGGGAATGAATCCAAACTATGGGGATTCAAAACCAAAAGTTTCACAAAAAATTCAGAGGCTTGGGCAGTAAGTCTCTGAATTAGGCAACTTTATGCAGAGAGTTTGAAAAATGAAGCCTTTTTTTTTTCTTGATATATGTGAGATGTCTTCCCTGTATGCTATTTCATGCTATTTCATTTTGAGACTGAAAGCAGCTTTTTAGCTGTTTGATTCTCAATACCTCTTTGATTTAAAAAATAAAGTGTGCTGGATGGGGAGGGGAAACTGGAAAACCTCTGGGGTGGAGGGAATAGCAAAGACCGACTGTAGCCTGCAGGAACCAGCTTCTCTCATCTCCCGTTGACCCACAGTTGACAACATTTTGACAGCAGTTTCAGGAGGCTGCTTCTTCAACAGGTGATCTTGGAAAGCTGGAGGCTTCAATGTTAATAGATTGGATTGTGGCTTTTATCGCTGCCAGTTACTGTTAGCAGTTTATTTTTGAGAGACAGAAGTTTTGTGATGCATCTGAGCCTCCTTTTTTTGTTGCTATAACTTAACAGACACAGTGTTATCGGTAGAATTTCTGCTATCATTCAAAATTCAKATTTCTGAAATACATGTCTTGATTGTCAAGCAAAATAGTTCTATCACATCCTTTTTTTAAACTATTTTTTTCTTAAGTTAAAATTAGGGAGGCCACACATGAAAAAATGAGAAGTTTTTTTTTTTTAAGGGAAATTGCAAATATATAAAACAGTCAAAATTCTGTTTTTTTTTTTCCCCACAGTTCTTCAACTGTGATCCAGAGTTTTGTTCATCAAAAACTGGAGCTTGCAGAGATGAAGATTTTTTTTTTTATCATAAAGTCAGCAGACATGGCTTAGCTTAGCATGGCTTAGACATGCATTAAATTAATTGAAGGTGTTTATCAGTTTTGTCAAATGCTCTTAACTGCTGTACATTTAAAAAAATATATATCTGTGCCTCCCAATTTGGAGATTAGCTTCTTCTGAGACCTGTTAAATACTTCAAGCAGCAATGATAAGAGTAAGTAACATTTATATTGAACTTGTAAAATTGAGGCATGAGGTAACAGGTACACTGAGGAGRGAGATACTGAGGAGTTTGTCATGTATAAAAAAGACAGAAGAAATTAGAAAAGAAAAGAAACTGCAAGCAAAGCAAGTTAATGAAAAAATAAACCTGAACTAATTTAATTTCTCTATATTTTATCTCTGTATAAAACTGTATTTTAAAATTGGAATCTGCCATCTCTTTTAGAGAAGGGCAAAGAAAGACACTAAATAATCATTTCCTTTTAAAAAAGGTGGTGATTAGTGCTGGTAACTTAGAAATCTTTTCCTGAAACCTGGATAATATGTTTGAAAAAAGATCTGCAGTGTCTGAACAGAGCCTGTACCCCTGGTGGTGGCCTCCTGTCGAGGACCTTAGTTGGGAGCAGCAGTGTGCACATGTCTGAGGGTCTTGAAGTCTAGTCAAGAGGCAGTTAATTGAGCTGTTTCTATCTAATCCTTTTGAATAAATTATGTTTGCTTTCACAGGTTTCACTGTTTAGTGAAGAGTAGATGATCAGTAACGAGGAGATAAGTGAAAAAGCACCTGAGGGCTGATGCATGAGGAGCTGCTGTAGCTTTGCTTAGCACTGAATGAAGCCTGAAGCAGGCCTGAAATGGAGAGAGGAGAAAGAAAAAATAAAGGCAAGAGAAACAGATCCATATTTGCCTTGTAGTACAAAGGAGGGTTTTATTTTTTGTATCTCCTAGTATTTTACCAGCCAATAAATGCTATCAACTTTGCATCAGAAAGAGAAAACGGTTAGGGGATATCTGCAGACTGGAACAGAGCACRTCGGGAACACTTGGGTGCAGGGAACTAGACTTTGTTCTTTATAGAAAGCCAGCAGAAAGACATGAATTTTGTGTTTTGTGTAGCTCATAGTATTTTGGTTTTCTCTGCTATTTATTTATTTATTTTTATTTAAGAAGAAGGGTAGTACCTACTAGATTTGCTTACTTTAAGAATAAAATGACATCTGAAAGCTGGTAATAACTGTGAGAGAGGCCTTGGAGTTGTGGAAACTTTAACTAAAGAGGACGAGGACGATGTGGAGTTTGYGTACATGGAGATTTCCTCTGCTTCCTGCTGGGGCAGCCGCCTGTTCCTGTTGGTGTCAAGGATGGAGAGCCTCTGCAGTGCCACCGTTCGCTGCTCCACGCGGGAAACGCTGCTGAGCGAGGCAGTTTCAGCAAAGTCAGCTCCAGTGACTGAGGTTATTAGAGCTGCTTTTGATGTCACATTGCTCCTCTTAATCACAGTGGCTAAAGAGCGAGGAGAAACCCTCTTAGTTGTCGAGGCTCCGCTCATTTCCTGTGATTATACYGCTCTTTTCATCACAGGAATGCTCTTATTAGATGGAGCAATTATTTTCAATTTGCCTTAATTTCAAAGTAATAATGGGTGGGGGAAGAGGTTTTGAATAATAGGCTCCAGGATKAGCCCGCGGCTCCCTGCAGCGTTCCCGGTAGGGCAGGGGGTGCCGGAGGCGCGTGCGGGACTGCGCCGGTGGGAGTGGATGCGTGCGGCCTGCGGGAGCTGTGGGGCCCATGGGGCCCATGGGGCCCGTGTCGCGCCCAGCCCAGCCCAGCCCCGTGTGGGGCACCCAGGGGCTGCCTCTAACCTGCGGGCCCGGCCGGCGGCCCCTGGGCCCTTCCTCACGGTGGCCACGTTCGTTAGAAACGTGGACACCTGTGGTGAACGAAGCAGGGAGACAGGCGTGTGGAAGGCAAACTCTCTACATCTGCGTACAGAATTCACGAGGCTAGAAACCTTATGTCACCTATACTTTTTAGTAGCACAAATACTGCTTTGGCTTTGAAGTCAAGTACCTGTTTCCTGTCCTTTCTACTTTCCTGTTTTTCCACTTTCCTTTCTACTTTTTCAAACTTTACAGTTTGTTTAATAGGTTGATATTCTGTTGTTCGCGAATACTGCCGGTCCTCAAAAAAAACCAACCCAACCCCCTGATTCTTTCTTTTTAAAAAAATAAAAATCAAAAAAATTGTTACTAAAATACCTTTGTTGACATAATGCCATTGAAAGTGGAATAACTGGGAGCATGAACAAGTTTAGTTACCTGCTGAGTCCTGTGCTGCATCCTAATATCTTTTTTATCTTCCATTTCTAATGAACACTTGAGAGAAGATATCTCAGGAAGATGGCCAGGGCCTCCAAAGGGGGGAGAATGAGTTCAAGCCTCTTGACAAATCTGAAACTGGAGGCCAACGTGATAAGAGGCAGTCGGTTGCGTTTTGCACTTCTGTGAGAGTGTGCTCTTGTAGATTAGGTGAATAAAAGGGAATACAAGAATATATTTTTTTCTAAGCCCTTTTTTTCCCCCCTTCCATTTGCAAAATTGTAATGATACTTGAGCCTAGTATTCTAAAACTGCTTTTAGACCAGAGTACAGAGGGCTGCAGGTAAAACCGTGCACAAGAATGATTTTATGCTTTTCCTGAAAGTGTCACACGCTCTGAATTAAGAGATTRTTTCTATATTAAATCCAAATGCACATAAGAATGTCAAATAAAGTAAAAAAGTGCTCTGTTGAAGTAAAACATGGTTGTGGCTTACCTGGCTAGCTGGAAATGCATATGTAAGTATGGTGTCCACTTATTTAGAGTTTGTGTTTTATTTTTTACTGTATTTTTATATTTAAAGAGAGTTTTTTTCTAGTACTTGCATTTACTAAAATATTTCCCTTGTGCTTTTGTAAGTATCAAGTGTATTTTTATTGCAGTTTCACTGGCCTGTAAATTTTGGAAATACTGCTCTCAACACAGAAATCTTGAAAGTGATCCCCGAAGGCTTTGCTTGTTAGATGATTTTTAGTAACTTCTTGGCATATTTTGTTTAAGGGATTTCCAATGTACTCATTGTTCTACTGAAGCAAAGATGAACAATTTTTTTTTCATTATTTTGTATAATCATTTAGTGAACAAAGCATGAAATCTAAAGGGTTCATTTTTCTATGTRCTTAGTTTCCCCATGTAATCATATGATTCTGAAGATTGTATGTTTTGCTTATTTTTTTTAAGACCTATTCAGATAGGTACTCAGATAGATACTCTGCATTAGGGATCTCTATACTGAAAAACAGTGTCTCCCTGGACTGTTTTTTTACTTTAGAATCCAATATCCTTAAGAATGTGCTTTTCAAGTAAATTTCACCTATAGATTGAATAATGGATGCTGTAACTGTTCATACAGAATAAGCAAATATCCTAATCATTGTGTGTATATAAGGAAACTTRGTCATTTTATAGCAAAAAGATGAATTATTGTGTGCAAGTATCTACAGGTTTAGAAGAAAATGTTATGYGTTATTATTTTAAAATAGTTGGTCATAAGGCTTTGTGATTTATTGAATGTTGCACTGCTTTGAGCCATGCATCGTACAGTAAGATAGAAGTGCTAATATTCACCTCTTCCATGCTTTTAAAATGAATCCTTCCCTGCCGGTGAAGTTTGATACTTAAAATGAAGTTGGTTCTTTCAGTTGAATTGAACTGTCCCCGCGGTGGTTCCCGATGCTGCTKCTTTTGCGTGGCGTTTTTTCCTTGGAGTGTTTCCTTGAGTGTGGAGTCTCCAGAAAACCTGCCTGAACCACAGGCGCCCTCCGAAAATCTGCTAGTCCCTCGGGGCTCTTCTCCGTTCATGTTTCCCAAGCTGCCGCCTTGTACCTGAGCTGGCACTGTTGGCTGGCRGGCACTTACGGGGGTACTTTAGAATCTGCTAATGAGCAAAATATTTCTCTATGCAAAAAAGAAAAAAACCCATGTTTTCTTTCTGTTCTACAGCTCCTTGAAGGAAACTTTGCTAGAGAAGTTAGTCATGAAGTGGACGGACTGATTTTTCAGCCTACAGGAGTAAGTAGTATAAGAACAGATATATATATATATATATATTTTTTTTTTTAATGAGATTTCCGCTCCTCCTGCCCTTCCTCCCTCCAGTCCTTTGTGTCTGACCCAGCCTTTGTTTCAGTGGGGGTTATTTTTCAAAATTGATTCTCATTTTTCTGGTTCTGCAGAGAGTTTGAATTCAGCCAGTTGCCATCCCAGTTGTAGAGTGTGTGTGTGTGTGTGTGTGTGTGTGTGTGTGTGTGTGACCTTGATTGGCACCAAAGTAACATTTCCCAGGAATCAGCTCATGCTTCATGGTTGTTTTTGTTTGTTTGTTTGCTTTTGTTTTCTTTGTTTTGTTTTTGTTTTGTTTTTCTGCACGTGCAATCACAGAATCAGATGTGCTACTAAATCAGGAAGGATTTTCTTTGAGTTTGCCTCCAGGATATTTCACACTAAAATTATAATAAAGTTTGTGATACATACTGTTTTAGTGAAAGTAAAGTATATTATGTCTTTGAAGTCTGCTTACTAGTGGCAAGCATGTGTGACTGGGAGGGGGACAGTGCCCAGAAGAATTGCAGGCAGACTTCTTAGCTATCAAAAAAGAGCATAAAGAGGTAGTTTGCAAGAAGCAAGAGTGGCTCTGTGAAAGCAGAGCTGTAGCAGGACCTCATCCAATCTGCTAATGCTCTTGCTGCCTCTCATACAACAAATGCAGTCCAGGTAGTTACACATTATTACTGAAACCTCATCAGCACTGACATCTTTTCTTACCTTGTAAAGCAAGGAGTCGCTGTTTAAATTGACAGAATTCTGCCTTGACAGCATCTTGTTGAAAGCATTTGTGTTTAGTTTAATACACACTTTTTTCTGGTCTACTTTCTATATTATAGATCTTGGCAAGGGTGATGACACTGCCATCTGGAAATAAGATTAACCTTGTTCTTTATTACCAGTTCTCCATCAGCTAGCCACAAAATGAATGATCAGTTAGTCCCTTGGTTTCTATGATACAGTAGTACGTTTTTTTATTTTTTGCCTCTAATATATATAGCTATTCTAAGCAAAACTACAAGGGTGAAGAAAATTGGCATTTCCCTAGAAAAGCCTGGTGTGATCATGGAATATTTTTAAAATGTAAAGTCATCGTAAAGGTTTCCCGGGATCGTTTTTTCTGAATAGAAGAGGTTTATGCTATTGAGAATTGCTACAGTTAAGTTTGAAATTACTTGATATGAAATAACTTAAATGTCTCTTTGTTGAGACATTTGTTCTTTGTTGCAGGAAATTAATATGTGATGTTGGTTTTTCTAGAACTTGTGTTCACTGACTTAGCATACTGGGAAATTTATAAGCCAATAAAAACTATCTCTTGCTGTTGAAATATTTATATAAGTTTTCTCTTTAGAATATGGATTTTATTTGTTTAGTCCAATTTATTGTTCACTTTTCAGTATTCTTTCAGGTTTTATCAAATGCAGTTTCACTGTACCTGTGGTTAAAGATTAAGCAATATGCAGTTTTCTCAATGGTTTTTGGAGAAAAATATAAATAAGATATTTAGAGAAAAGAAATTGTTATAGACCTAGTAGACTGGGAAATAATAAGCCTGTTTAACTGAAAAAAAAGGAATATAATTGGCACTGCTTTTTATTTTATGCATTGCAGAGAGCATAGACTAATTGGCACCAATACGAGGGCAACGGAGATAACAACGCACTAATGATCCCTTCATCTTAGTAACCAAAGTCATTTTTCTGTTCACACTGTAGCTGCAGTCCCATCTGTGACGTTATGAGGTGATTTCACACACAGGTGCTTCTTGCTGCGCGGGGCGGCTGCCTGCACTTGGGTCAGGGTGGCACCTTGGAGCTTCCTCTCAAGGGCAGAGACCACGAGCCAGACTGCCACCCACGTGGGGCATATCCAGAAGAAAGCGGGTTTCTTCAGCTTTTATTGACGTTTGATCTTGTAGGAGAAGGGACAGAGATGGTGCTGACAGGTAGAGAAGCAGGGACATGTGAGGAATTTCTTTTGGGAGCTCATAAAGTCTCRTGGGTGTTCCTTGTGGAGGAAGAAGGAAGCAGAGCTGGACAGGAATATGAGTAAGGTCGCAAACAGGGATAAAGTTGGAGCAGAGAAGGTTGAATGGGAGATGACCATTTCCACACAGGAAAACTTGAGGCATGGGAAAAACACTTTCAGTAAGTTTAGCCATTAAAGCAGAATGCATAAGTTAAGTAATTATTTAATATAATGGAAGTTGAGTTTATTAGCTCAGTCTGTTTAGTGAAAATGTTCTTAGCTTATGCACAGATGTTATTCCCTTCRTCTGTGAATTTAGATACAGTCTGAAGAGTCATCCCCACTGACTGCATCATCCCCACAGACTGCAAGCAACRCTGGTACTGGGAGTCCAGAAGGGTGGAGAAGTTTGGTTTGGAACTTGGAAGTTTGTCTTTAATGAAAAAGGGGCATCTGAAATGCCTGTGACAAGCCTGGTGCTTGTGGTCAGAGCCCCACAGAGCGGGGCTTTTTCCTCACTTTTCTCTTGGATATCGAGCGCTTCAGCAAAGTAGAGCACCTGGGTTGGTTCAATCTGTGGAAATGAGGATGCTTTGATTAAAAGGAATCTGTGAAAAGCTGTGAAACACCAAGCACAGYGTTTCAGCGAGGTGTGATGTTTTCTTCTGTTGGTTTTCCGATCTCCTTTTGATCTCCTATTGTAAATTGTGAATTCAGCTCCTTTTGCTGAAACGTGGATTGTTTTGCACTGCGGTTAGGCTCAGGGGTGAGGAGCAAGAAGCCCGTGCACTCCTGTGCAGGCTACTTTATTGTGCAAGATCACGCTAACTGTGCACTGTTATTCCTAACTAATTCACCAGTTATCTGAATTATCATTCATTTGGGACATGCAAGTACTTCAATTTCATAGAAGTCAACGACCAAGGCCTCCCTTCTTCCTCCTTCTGCAGMCACTAAATGTTTTCGCGGATCATGGGAAGAGTGTGTTTAGTGGAAGCTGTGGAGATTTTTACTTAGTTTATGAWCTAAGGATGTTATATAGGTGACTTGATGTGATGTGTGCTTCGTAGGGCCCCGTGCTTTCCCTGTCGTACCTGCCATCCTCTAACAGCTCCGTGGTGAGAGACAAATACCAGACAATGTTTTCTTATTATTGTTTCTCTTCTTTCCTTTGTACTCTTTTCCTTTCCTCTGTTTCCTTTTCATGTTTCCTCTGTCCAACAGCCTATTTCCCACATTCCTTTTGGTTTCCCTTTCATGTCTTTTCTCCCTAATGCTGCTTCTTCCTTCATCATTTCYTGTCTGTGTAAGACACTGCTGATAAAACTCCCCTGCTTCTGGGTYGCCTCCATTCCATCTGATCAGCTTTCTGATCCCTCTACGTGTAACAGGTTGGCAGAGCAGGGACGGAAGCTAAGTGCTAATTAGGAGGAGTGAAACAGGCCAGCAGGAACCTTCATGGACAGGTATGTGTCCCTCTGATTACAACCAGACCAGGAGTGAATCTGCCCAGYAGTTTGCAGGTACAAGCTGAATGCCTTACTCACAGATTCTAAATGCTCAGCTAACATTGGAAACTCTCAATCTTTTATTTTTTTCCCTCCTGAAGGGTTAGTTCCAAGCAGTGGCCAAGTTTGTATGCTTGTTTTAACACTAGCAGTTTGCCAGCCTGGGTGTTTTTTAATTGAAATCTCAAAAACGGCCTCTTATCTATGAATGGCAGAATCAGCTCGCTGACCTGTACCCACTCATCAGTGAAATTACTTTTGCTATCTGCCTTGTAAATCATCCCTTCACTAGATACCTGCCTGAGGCTATCGAATTTCTGTGCTAGCAGCCTCTTTGTAACTGGTTTCCTTGCTGGCTAGAACTATTATTTTGCTTTGCTTGGAAAAGGGATGAAAGAATTACTTAATTCCTTGGGCAACCGGAAAGCTGGTKAGGTGGCCATTGCTTCGGAAGGCCTAAGGACACTTTTTAAGTAGCTTTRGAAAGCTTGCATCAGGATTTATTCTTTTCTACATCATCCTTTTGCCTCCTGATCTCTATGATGTTTTTGTTTTGTCTCCGGCTGAGTTCTGCCCCTTAGTCCGTTCTGTTCTTTTGGATGAGGAATAAAAACCCATTGTGTGGGTTTAGAGTTTTGCGGGGGAATGAATAAGGACAGTTGTTGGGTCCCATTCTTGTAAGAAAAATGTTACTTTAAGGAAGATTGAATGACTTAACTCATAACTCTCTGTGTTAAGCACTAAGAAAAAGTTTATCCTTTAAACTGGAAGGAGAATAATAAACAGATTTTTATTACTTATTATTATTGYATGAGATGTTTAATATATCTTCCTTCCCTTGGCAAACTCAATGGTCAGAAATGCTTGATTGCCTATTAATTATTTGCACTAGTCTCGTTGTGTAGTAGGCTGTATTATCATTTTTCATCATTGTAAAAGTTCACCCCAAACCACTAAAGTTACCTCAAGTTTCAATTACAGAAAAGGAATGAAATACACGTGGAAGGCACCGCCGAGTGCAGTGTCTCCAAAAGGCCCTGCTGTGTTCCATTAAACAGTGCCAGTTTCTCCTAAATAACCCCTTTATATAATTGGCATGCCCCTCCTAGCAGAGAATGCCTTTGGTGGGCTCTGCTGRGGACTTTAAAGCAGACACCAGGTCAGCTATTGGGAAACCTTTGAACCTCGTCTGCCGGTGCTGAGGCCTCCCTTGGTGGTGAACGTTCCTGCYGCAGTAGCGGGTATTCACTACCCATAGGCTCAGTGCAGCAGCTCATGGATAAAGTCTTAGGGACCATCATGTACATAACAAATTTTTCCTTTTATCARTAATGCACATGATTACTTACAACTGTCTGGATTCTGTTTTCCAATTTTGTAATAGCTCCTTGGTGTAGATTGCCTAGCTTTTGGTAGACTTTGCAGCAGAAGAAATCTGAGGAGAAGACTTTTCATCTGCCTTTGTATTGACACCTACCTCCTAAACCT